GAAACAAAACTTCAAGAACACGGCCACACAGCCCGGAAGACCCACACCAGCCATGAAGAAAGTCAGTTAATCTTAATCTTCCATTAAGGACTGGCATACACCAGCTTTACAGCATAATCCTACATTTATTCTGTAGTCAGCTCCACTGGGTCAACGGTACTTATTCCCTGTTTGAGATGGGACTATATTAACTCAATGGCTCAAGGCAGGAAGATAGGAATTGCAGAAAGTGACCGTGCCAAGCTCCCAGCTAACTTTAAATGGCCTGGTTTTTCAACTCCCCAAACCACCTAAATCATGCATTAAAGAGAAAGAAGGCTCAATTTTATCTTCATTACTAAACTTTGCATTTTAAATATTGCAGTTTTAAGAGAAATACAAAGGCAAGCTCAGGAATAATGAAAAAGTCAGATAGTAATGTCCCTGTTTGGCTATCTAACACAGTGCCTTTTGCAGACAAGAACAGTCTGCTATCAAAACAACCACACAAAACTGAGCTCCAACCACAGGATTTTTGCCCCATTTATTGAACATCAGCACATTGTGTGACAGTTACACAGCAAAGAGGCATTGCTCAATAAATAGATAAATAGAAATATATTTATCTGGCTCATGTCCCATTTTTCTATGTATTTCACAAGGCAGCTCACAATAGTTTAAAAAATGCCATTTAGAACATAATGGTGCCACTAATTCAATTAAAAATCAATTAATGATTAAAAGCTTGGTGAAAGAAATATGGTTTTGCCATTTTTCTTTAAACCAGGAGAGTGGGGGCCCAACACACTGCCCTACAGTAGCATTCATTAGCCTGAGAACCATACAGAAGAAAGCTCTTTTTTCTCATACCAGACAGGTTAGCCTCTGACAGCAGAGTATATTCAACAGGGCCTCTCCTGCTGATCTAAGGAACCAGGCAGATTCCTAGTAGACGAGGTGGTTTCCCAAATAATAAAACCATTTAGGGCTGGAAAGGTCAATATCAGGATATAAATTGTGCCCAATAGGCAACTCGCAGTCAGTGCAGATCTTTTTGTAGAATCATCATATGATCTCTGTACTTTGCACTGGCCAGCAACCTAGCACTTTATGAGGGCCCCCCAACAGGCACAAAAATGGAACAATTTAATTCTTTGGAATTGCACCACTTGCTACAAGGATTGACCACTGATGCTTTAGATCAAAAAAGCTGTTGCTTTGGAAACTGTAGGTAGTTGTATCAAAGAATGGAGTTATGATTGTACTGCAACATGATAGCAAAGCTATCCTTCACAAAAAGTTACATAAAAGTTAGAGTAGGTCTGAAGAGATTTATTGTATTTTCCCCAAAGGGAGACTATGAATTTAAGACAGTTCCCCCCAAAGGAAAAAACAGATAGGAAAAAAACAATTATAAACAGGGGAAATCCTATATACTGTCCAACTCCCCATCCTTGTTACCTACAGTTGCCAGCTCTTGTTGAAACCAACCCTAAAGGCGTTTCCCCCCCAAATAAATGTCTGTGTGTGAACTGCCTTTATGTGAGTGTGCATATGTGTACACAAGCATCAGCCAGGGGCCACATACCAAAAAAGGCAAGACAAAAAAAGAAGCGATATTGGTAATAGTAACTGCATCAACAATTACTCATAAAATTAACTGTTTGTAAAATAAGGCACCTCTTTTGTAAAATTAATTTATCCCCCATTTGCACATATCCAGCCCCCTCCCTTGGATGTACATAAACATACACTCACAAAGAGAAAGAGACAATACAGAAACCTGGCCTCAGCATGCATAAAACTGCATTACTTTGCAGTAAACTCAACTAAATTAAATTACTCCCAGAAAAACAAAACAAAACATAAACTACTGCTAACTGGGGACAGATCTGTCCAGCCCAGCCTACTCTGGGTAAGCCATAGTCAAAATAGGGAAGAGATCCTTGGGGTATCAATATTTTTCTCTTTAAAGTCACCATCCCCTTGTTCCCTTCCATATTTAAAGGATGAAGGCAGCAGAATGCCTTCATAAACCAGTACAAGCTTTACAAAGAAGAATTAAAAGTCACCATGCAAGCTGGTACATGAATCCCCCTCCTTCCATGTCATGCCAACATTCAAAGGCATTCATGCTTCCAGAATATGCTGTTGAAAACAAAGGGGTGCTACTTAGAGCTTAGTCACTTGCTTTAAGTAGCACCACTTCGTTTTCAACAGCATATTCTGGTCCATGTAAGATAACTTCCTGCCCCAAATTCATAGAGGGCAAAACCACCATCTTCCTATCAAGTACATCTAGCAAGACTGCTGCAATTTCAGTGAAAGGGCTGGTCTACCCACTGAAAAATGTTTATTCTTGAACATGCTTGAATGCAAGGACCTCTTCCAAACAATTATTAAACCAAGTGTTCAAAGATCAACAGCTAGGGTTAAGTTCACAGCTGGCAGAACAACTCCCAAGATGTGAATGATCTCTGGAGCCAAGTTCATTCCACTGGTTAATTCTATTGGCTCTCTAGCAGAGATGAATGGAAAGTCATCAGGCTTAAAGCAGCAAAACTATTTCAACACTGGAAGTGTTCTGTGGCATGATATTAAGGGAAGAAAACAAAAAGGAGTGACAGAGGAGAAAACAAGCTAGAAAACTGTCATTAATGTGAACATATCATGGCTTTAGCTGACATAAGTACTTTAAAAAAAAGCAACATGCATGGTTAAAATGTAACAATGTTTCTAGCCTTTGGGAATGTTACAGTATATATATCCAGTTTCCACTGTTACAGTAAAGAGAACTGAGGTTGTTCAGGCCTTCCAGAAAACTTTATTCAGGGAAACTTTGCTAACTGAAGACTTGTAATGAGTTTGCATTTTTCAAAAGTCCCATGATAATGAATTAAGCACGACTATTCCTTAGGCTTATAGGACAAAGTGACTTTTATGTATCCAACAATGAACACAAGTACCTTTTAAACCAGTAGATCTCGTCAGGGTCTGCAATCCCATATTCTCTGAGTTTCATCACCATAAGAGCACTCTTTTTGATAGCTATTTCATAGCGTTGGCTGCGGGAGAGGTAATTTACATCTTCATGTTTGAAACTGGCTTCATTTGCAATAGCTTCTGTGGGAAGAAGAGATACTCAATGTTCAGAGTTAGTTTCAAAAAACAAGATATAAGACTACATCCTAGTAAATAAGAGGACATTTCTTATTTAAACAAATCTGTTAGAAATATATTAAACATTTTTGTCTGCTGTTATCATTCTGGTACCACTTTTATAATTGAATACAGCTCATAGTTAACACAGTTCAAGCTGTATTCAAGAAATCTAGAAAAGGAAATACAACTAATACAAATGAGTTACCTTCCTATCTTCAGGAAAAATTGAAGAATGGCAAAGAAAACAAATGTCTATGCTTTTATTATTTGATGAGTATTTCAAGCACATCATCATTTGTCATATTACATTAGGTGATACAGATCAATTAACTGAGTACAAAAAAGTACAATATGATCAGCATAAAGCAGGATGCAACAACTACTTTACCTCTAAAAGCCATCCCTTCTCACAACATCTTCCAGCTGTGGAATCCCCTGTGCTGTACAGTATTACCCTGAAACAGTCCTTTAGGTCTCCTCCAGTATTTGAAATGGGAAGAGAATAAGGTACAGACTGGAAGATTCATGGCTGAAATCTGACATCACCCTGAACTTGGAGCGAAGCCTAAAGCCAACAGACCTAGTTGGTGACCTAGTTAGAATAATCCTTTCAGTCATTAAATAGGCATCCGGTAAATTAGGCTTTTAGGAATACTAACCCAACTTGGTTACGGCAGCCGCCAGCTTGGAAGAAACACGTTTTTCTGCTACCCGGGGGGTTGGGGGTGGGTGGGAATGCTCTTTCTAAAATGGATCCTGAGACAAAAACAAACTGGGGAAAGAAGGCGTTCCCTTTCAGGGCGACGCTTGTCCAAATGCAAGCATACACCTTTAACGGGTAAAATGATGGTAAAGTTCTTGAAGGGGAAGAATCTACATTCGTAGCTACCGCCTGTAGCTGGACCGGGAGCGGAAAGGCGGCACACGCGCAAGGGCTGCGGCTTTCTCTCCGCCCGCTCTCACCGATTTCCTTGCGGCGCCGGGTCCGCTCGGCACCCCCGTCCAAGATGTTGGTCAGCAGCTCCGCCTTGAAAGAAGCTGCCTCCCGCTCCTTCCGAAGATCCGGGTTCATGCTCTCGGCCATGACTCCTCCACACTCCGCACGAGAAACAACCGCCAGCGGACTCCAGAAAAGATTCCGGACGGGCGAAAGGGATCCCGCCCCGCCCGGTCCGTCACGTGACAACCCGGAGGTCCAATAGGAGGTCGCTTAGCATCCGCGTGACTCTGCGGAGGAGTTCCGCCTTGCGTGCGGAGCTTCCAGCGGGCTGGCGCTGGATCGAGCTGCGGGGTTGTCTATTGCTAGGCGGGAACTGGAAAGGAAAAATCCATTGATTTTATGCAAATATTTAATCTGCACCATGGACGTTTAATTCCGCAGAGATATGCACCGGACGTCCTTGTGAAACCAGGGCTTTGGTTGCTTGTGTTGCCCATTGTTTTCGGTCCAGGTATCTGTTTGCGTACAATTCCCGCTATTCAGGGCTACCCACACAAGTTTCGCTTGCGGGTGCATCACGTGCTAGAGCGTGTAATAGTTCAGTCCTGAAGCTTTCCTGTATCTGCCTGATTATTTGTAAGGAAATATCTATGGGAGGAGTGCTTCTCACTTCCCAGATTGTAAAGAAAATATTAATTCGGGTGAAGTTTCTTCCCCGCCGCTGGTATGCGTTTAAGGGTAAGAGTACAGTCAGGTTCGCGCTGGCTGTTTTTAGAATTTATGGTAGATCAAGCACGACTGTCTGGTCTTTAGCCAGTGGGACCTGGAAGGGGGGAAAGAAAAAGAAAAGCCCAGCAGAACGAGGAAACTGCGAATCAGAGAAAAAAGTTAACAGTCCAGGAGCCCCAGAAGAGTAGCAGAAAGTCCATAAAGGTTGATTAGGGTGATTGAATTATAGTTTCTGATTAAACTGTTATGTTTTAGGAAGGGGGAGTGCTCTAACATAATGGAACAATAAAAGGCTACTTACCTTTATAGCAGGATAAATATTCAGACCAGAAAAATATTTGAGATCTCGGAAAATGGAAGGTTATGCCTTCTTCCCTTTAATCTTGTTTGACTCTAGGATCTGCTTTTGTGAGCCATTCCACACAATGCTTCCAGAAGTTGGAATGTATCACTTTCCTTGGGAAATAAACTTTACATCAGTTCCAGAAGGGAAAGTCCTGAGAACATTTGGCAGGTCAGTGTAGGTCTACTTTAAAATGTTTGTTCAGTTTGGTCATTATCTGTTTATATTCTCTATAACTGCAACATCTGTGTATAGTCTCTGTAACTGCTATTAGAGATTATGTCATTGATCTGATTTCCTCCCATCATTGGGAAATACTTGTTTTGTTTTTCCTTTCCTTTCTAGTTGTTATAAGACATCTTGTGATAAAGTGGAGAGCCAGAATCAAAGACGATAGGATATCCAGCAGTGTTTGGAAGCTAGGGTCTATTTTAGGCTATAGTCCTGTGCATGTTTATTTGGGAGTAAAACCCCATTGAACTGAGTTACTTCTGAGTAAATATGTACAGGATTAACCTGTTATTTTTCTAGCATGAAAAATAATGTATGGTTTTCCAGTCTCTGTATTATAGCACTGTTATTCCCCAAGAGTCAAGCTCAACTCCAATGAGGCTTATTGGAATATGAATAAATGCCTCTGAGTTGTTGGGCTAATAACTTTAACCATATTATAGAGCTGTCAGTATATTAGGCATCAATAAATTAAAAGAAATTAAACCCTCTGTCTAGTGGTTAAGGCACCAGGCTAGACACCAGGAGACGGTGAGTTCTAGTCCTGCCTTAGGCATGAAAGCCAGCTGGGTGGCTTTGGGCCAGTCCCTCTCTCTCTCAGCCCAACTGGTCTCCCAGGGTGGTTGTTGTAGGGAAAATAAGAGGAGGATGGTGTATTAGGTATGTTCACCGCCTTGACTTATTTATAAAAATAGTAAAGGTAGGATAAAAAAAAAATCTAAATCTCTTACATTAAGCAGTTATCTAGAGTTCACTGTTCCTTTTTTGAATAAGGGACTGAAGAAGACTTAGTCTGAAAGGAAAGAAATAAAGACCACAGGAGGAGGGCATTCTTCATAATGACCAAAGCATTAGACCTTAACATAGTGTTAGTGAACATACTGCACTTAGCCTGGTTCGTACTTTGCATTGAGCTATAATATGGCATGATTCAAGTTTATTTAGCACATGGTGTGAGCTTAGCTTAGAGACTTACTTATAACCAATGTATGCTCTTGCATTTAGACTTACTCTGAAAGCATCCCCTTTCAATGCTGCCTTCAATTTAGACCTCAGATAGCTTGTATAAACTGTTGGGTTTTTTTTCAAATATTATGTATGTTGTTTTACATATTTTATTTCTGTCATACATTGTCTCACCCTTATGTCTCTGCAAGTATAGTCCCAAAAATGGCTAAACACCTTTTAAGTATTATTTGACACAAATTAACATTCTGTCCCCCACCCCATGATATGTACATGTACATGGTGCTATCAGTATTCTGGAAATGAATGTGTGTATCTTACATATTACCAGTATCTGAAACTTGATTTCTGTCTTTCAGGCTTCACTCGTATGATATGGCCATTTCCCAAGCCATCTTAACAGCTCAGCATACATCTGGTCAGCACTGTATTCCAGTTTGCACAAAGTTTGTGGAACCCTTTCAGGCCCAGCTTGGATCTTCGTATATTGTCCTGGGGGAAACTGAATTCAAGGAGGGTAAGGATATCTATGATTTTTAATTCTGTGGGACCAAAAAGTCTCTCAATAAATACGAACAAGTAAAACCATTCTTAAGGACTCTATGCAAGACTCAGGGAGAGGGTAAAAATATCCCAATTCATATTTACTGGTAAAGGGTGCTACTAACATAGGTGCTTTATAATAGGAAAAAGTGATGCAGATTGTGGGTCTGTTGTGCTGGGGGAGCCCTACCCCAGCCAGAGACAACGTTGGGATAATCCCAGAATTGCTAGACTTCTGAATTAACAGCCACTCAGTCTTACTTGGGTTGAGTCTGAGTCTGTTTCTCCCCATCCAGGCCTTGGCAGTCTCTTCTTCTGAGCCTCAGGGGCAGGATAAAAAGGAGGATCCCATCGTTGTTCTCAGTTATTGCAGGAGCACATCTTCATATGTTAACGGTGGAAGTGCATTCAAATACCTGGCTGCAATATTTTCAGTTCACATAGATTATATCTGCCTGGTACCTCAAACATAGATCTGCTGGTAAGATGTCTCTTGGATACTGCTAGCCAGTAGTATCTAGCCAGTTTCCCTTTCTTCCTGGGGATAGGAAGTGTACCTCAAGTCTATGTCTATCTTTAACAGCATCACTTCCAGTAGACAATGTTTAGGAGAAAGTACCTGTAATTTGTTCTGTATTTCTCCCACCTGCTACCTTCTGCTCCAGCTGGGATTTGAGACCTTTGTTTCATTTGTAGATATGCTTTTGGAATCTCAGGTAGGAGAATAGCAGCTGTGACGGGGGAAATGTGGGAAGGAAAAGGTGGGAAAGGTTAAAATACTCAGCCTGTCCTGTAAAGGACTTTTTCCAGCACCACTTTTTTTTAATAGTAATTTTGGTAAAAATACAATAAAAACTAATACAAAGTTTAAAAAAAAAAGAATAAAAAGAAAAAAATAGGTGCAAAAAAAAAAAGAAAGAAAAAAAGAAAAAATAAGACTATGATAAAGAAAAGAAGAAGAAATATATATGGAAATGACTTCCTCCTTCATCACAAGTATAAACAATTTTAGTAACTTAATACCTCTTAAAATACAACAAATGATCTCGTCTTACTATACAGTGGTACCTCTAGTTACGAACTTAGTCCGTTCCGTGACTCTGGTTGCAACTCGAGTTGGTCTCAAGTCGAGGTAAATTTCCCCATAAGGTTCAATGTAAATACGGCTAATCCGCCCTCCGAATTTGGTCGCACCCCGAGGTAAATTTCCCCCATAAGGTTCAATGTAAATATGGCTAAACAGTTCTGAATGCATTTTATTTTTATATGCATTTTATTTTTAAACCTCAAAAACCTTCCAAATGCCACAAAAACCTTCCAAACGCCACAAAACACACCACAAGCCTCACCAAACGTCTCCTTGCTACCACGACCCCGCCCACAGAAAGCCGCGACCGCGTGGCAGCAGGGAAAATGGCCGCGGATCCGGTTCATAAGTAGAGGCAGAATT